GGATGCATTTCGAAATAGTGATAGGTAGCTTAAAACCAATTTTCTTAAGGTGGTTCTCTAAACGTTTAATACATTTATCAACAGGTATATTGGTAAATAAAGATTTAATGTCTAAGCTAGCTAGGGATTTGTTACCTATATCAATATCACTCAACTTATTTAGAAGAGAGCCTGAATTCTTTATATGTGCGTTACTTATGGTGCCCAGGATTGGAGTTAGAAATTTAGTTAAATACCTAGCGATATTATGAGGAGCTGAGCCTATACCCGAGATGATGGGCCTTAATGGAATGTTAGGCTTATGGGTTTTGGGGAGACCATAAATTTTAGGGACGGTGGGGTGGTAGTTAATAAGGGAAAGCCAAATCTTATCTTCATTATATATGAGTTTCTTATAGGACCTATTAAATTCTTTTAGATTCTTAAAAACTTGTATAGGAGAGATCTGTTCATATGTGTCTCTATCATTTAGCAAGTCCAACATTTTCTGGTTGTAAGCAACGGTGTCTATGACAACAACACCGCCTCCTTTATCTGAAGGAGATATAATAATATTATTGTTCATAGACAAGGATTTTAAGGCATTCATATACCTCTTAGGTAAAGTAAAATCCATATTTTGGCAGTCAAAAGAGGCAGCTAAAATGCCTTGGGTAAAACCTTTATGGAAGTCGGAATCACTGTGTTTGTAGTTTAGATTTATCAGTTTGCTAATATTGAGGTCTTTTGAACCAGTTGCAAACTTTAGACCAAAGCTAAGAGCTTCAGACTCTATAGTGCTAAGTGTGGTTTTAGAGATATTGGTGACTAGATCCGTTCTACCCATTTTCTTCCACCAGCTGCTATCACATAAATTATGAAATTTTAGCTTTAAACTCTTGATGTATTTTAGATTAATTTTGGTCACCTCGGATCGAAGTCTCTCAGCTGTGATGCGAGACATGCTGTTTTTTAACTTTAGTTCACGTCCTAGAAATGTGGCTTTTAAAAAAGGTTGTTCCTCGGAAATTTTTAAATCTTTAACTGATGATTCCAAGTAGAGTTTGATGTAGTCAGGGAAAATATGTGAAGATGATTTCAAAATATTCGATAAGCCGGATGGAACGATTTTCTCATATATACAGTTCGTTAAGAAATCCTTTCTGTTCTTATAGGAATGTGCGGAGGTCAAAAGATTCTTATACTTTCGGATAAGTTTGAAGTCTTCCATGTTATAAAGTGAATTCAGGTTTGTATTTCCAGTAGACAGTATGTAAGCAAATATATAAAGAAATATAGTCTTAAGGTGTACTATACTTATGGGATAAAGTACTCAATATCAGAGATAGAGCGTGTGTAAATATAAAAGTGAACATAGAAGTCGACACTTAGAGTCAACAGTCTGTTTCATGTTAGACGCAATCATCAGGCCTGATATTTTATATATATATATATATATATATATATATGTGTGTGTGTGTGTGTGTGTGTGTGTGTGTGTGTGTGTGTGTGTGTGTGTGTGTGTGTGCAGAATAAAATCCAAAATCACATCATATGAAGAATAAGCTAATTTCGGCAGACGAAAATATATATCGTCTGTCTTATCAACCCCAGTATGGACTGAGTTCGAGTCAGAAATAGAAATTTAACTGTGAAAGCTAAAAAAAAAAAAAAACGGTCGAAAACATAACACAGAAATTTTATTTTTGAAATATGAAATTGTATTTTTAAGTATGACTTTACATGTTTTAAATATAAGTTTATCTATGAATTATAAAGTTATTTTTAAACTTCTTTTTTATTACACACTTAGTTTTATATTAATTATCATTCTTCATATTACCCCAATTTAATGCCACAAGATTAATATCCGGGTTCACTTTTTATAAACTCTCTTCCCTTTAAGACTAGTACTTTCCCCCCTCTTCTAAGCCTTTAGTCGGATTGAAACACTTAAATGGATAAATTGTGTATTATTTTTTCGACCGTTTATTTATTTATTACTAACGTAATAACGTATTATTTTTTTCGTATGTTCTTGCTTTTCAGTTTTTAAGTATTGTAGTCTACAATAATAAATCCAAAATCTGTAAACTCTCGAGAGAGAGAGGAAAAAAGTAATAAACTTTCCAGACACAAATTGCCAAATAAATGATCGGAATTAATTTCAAAGTGCTGACCCGAAAACAGATTTTTACAAAGTGACTTTAAAAAAAAAAAATGGATTATTGACCGGCATATATAAATAGGCGAGCCAAAACACAACACACATAGGTTGGAAATCGCCAGACAATGGCAATTTCAACATATTTTTTCTAATATCTTATAATGAAATAATAATATTTTGCTCTACTTTGTACTGAGCACTTATTTTTTAAGTAAATGCTACAAACAGCGGAATTTTACTTCATCCGTTCTTTCTCTCATTTGGTTACATATATATATATATATATATATATATATATATATATATATATATATATATATATATATAAAGTGCGCAGGCATGCAGAAAATAGAAAAGAACACGTTGGGTGCATAATCCGGGGTTCCTTAGTATTTTTGTTTTTATTTTTAAGAAGACAGTGCTCCATACAGAAGTAGAGATTATATTGTAATATTTTTTTGTTTAATAATATTTTAATATTTTTTGTTTAATAATATTTTAATATTTTTTTGTTTAATAATATTATAATATTTTTTGTTTAATAATCTAAAATTTCGCTTGAAGATGAAACGGGACTAAACACCTCAATTCAACTTAATTTTAATAATTATTTGGATGGTTTGGCTCTCGTTTTTGAAACATGAGAACTCTTATGTAGCGAAGGAATCATATTTTTAAACAAAAATATTACAATACTATATATACATATATATATATATATATATATATATATATATATATATATATATATATATATATATATATATACGTATATGGATATGTATGTACACTCAGAGGCAACAGGCAGTTTCATGCTAGACAGTTACAGACAGCCGGACGATTGCGTCAATCATGAAACAGCATGACGCCTCTGAGTGTTGACTTTTCACTTTTATATTTATATTTACATACACTCTATCTCTGATATTGAGTACTTTATTCCATAAATATAGCACACCTTAAAACTATATTTCTTCATATATATATATATATATATATATATATATATATATATGTGTTGTGTGTGTGTGTGTGTGTGTGTGTGTGTGTGTGTGTGTGTGTGTGGAGGGTGTTGCGTGGGTATAATGAATAAAATTCGACAGAATCGGAAACATATAAAATATTTTGGGCAGGGATTTTAATTTGAAATTATTTGCCAGTAATCCAGCGTGAAGAGAACAATAAATTTATTAGAAACAAAAAGCTGCATTATCGACAAGAGACGGGCTTTGCATTACGCATTCTGTGTTTAAACCATAAAACTGAACGATATTAGTTGTAAACTAATTGAACTGCCAATCAAATCAAAATAGAAAAAAACTGAATTTTCAAACGAATAAGGTAAAACTCGTTTCGTCTTGATAATTTGTATATTATGTTTGAAATAAAATTGGTGCGCCGATTAATGGCTATAAATAAAATTAAATATTTGCAAACTATGTCACTACACACACTTATATATATATATATATATATATATATATATATATATATATATATATATATATATATATATATATATATAGTCTTAAGATGTATATTTTGGGGATAAAGTGCTCAATATCAGAGATAGAGCGTGTGTAAATATAAAAGTGAACATAGAAAGTCAACACTTAGAGGCGACAGTCTTTTTATGCTATATGCAATCGTCAGGCATCTGGCATGAAACAGACTGTCGCCTCTAAGTGTTGACGTCTATGTTCACTTTATATTTATATATATATATATATATATATATATATATATATATATATTACATGAAATAGAAATTGCAAAATGACCCCATTTGAATAGGTATTTCGCCCTGCAAGAACATACTTTGCAGGATTTGTTAGCACCAAGGATTGAAGAAATAAAATAAAATCGTAGCTTAATTTTTTTTGACGTTTAAGAAGAAAGAAAGACGGAAAATTAAAAGAAAAGGTGAAAGAAGAATATAAGAGAGGACGCAGCAAATCTTGTAGAAGCTTAAACCCAATTTCATGGTGGTAGAGGGGGAGTGTTTGGATTCAGACATCAGTTAAAATTAACTTGACCTACATTTTAAAATATTAACATCTTGTTTCTATGAGGAAAAGTACTTAAAGAAAATTAAAAATTAGAGACTTTTACATTTTATTTTAATAAATAAAATGTTTAAGGAAGAGTAAGTAAAAAAATAACATCTAAAAATTAAAACATAAGCAATATACAAATAATAATATATATATTGTAATAATTAGAATAATTCGTGAAATAATTATTAAAAAATAATCAAGTTTTGAAATTAATTTAATTAAAAATTGTATATTAAAAAAATTACTAAGTAATAAAAATAAACTAATAAATAATATTAAAAACAATATATAAGTGAAATAAAACTTAATTATTAAACATAAATTTAAAAAATTAAAAATAAAACTTTTTAATAAATAGAAATAGAAATTAATTCTTAAATAAAAAATTAACGTAATAAATATAAATAAAAATATTTAAATAAAATTTAATTATTAGATAAAAAGTATAAACTAATTATTAAATATAAATATTAAATATTAAATCTATAGTTAAATAAAAAATTATAAATCAAATGAAATATTAAAATATTAATTAAAAATAATAAATAATTAAGTAAAATAAAATAATACATATAGGGCAAACATAATAAAATAGCAGTAGTAGTAGTAGTAAAAATAATAATACAACAGTAATCGTAATAATAATAATAATAAAAATACCTATATTGGCGGAAGGTTATTTGATAGGAAAGAGAAGGTGTAGAAATAACCATATATGTGTTAGGTGATAACAGATTAATCAAGATCAATAATGTGTTAGATGTGTTCTAACCTACTTTCGTGACGACATTTGGAAGTAACTCATTCCTCTCTCTCTTTTTCTCTCTCTTTCTCTCACTCTTTCTCTCTCTCTTTCTCTCTCCCTCTCTCTCTCTTTCTATCTCCATCCCTCTATCTCACTATTTCTATCTCCATCCCTCTATCTAACTCTTTCTCTTTCTCTCCCTCTATCTCTCTTTCTATCTCCTTCCCTCTCCCTCCCCTCACTTTTCTCCTTCTCTTTCTCTTTATTATGTCTCTTGGCTGAAAAACTTTGAAAACTTTCTCTCCCCTTGACGAAAAGCTCGGCATTAGAACTTTGTGAGACCTGTCTTTTGTTTGGGGAAAGTCTCTCTCTTTCTCTCTCCTGCTCTCTCTCTTCTACCCTCTTGTTGAACTATATTTAATTTTTCTCCCTCCTTTTCTCTTATCTTACTTCTTCTTTCTCTCTCTCTGGGCTAACAGGCGATTGACTCGAGCAGATACGTCATATTGTGTTAGACGTAAAATCCATCTTGGCAGGTGAAAAACTTTGAAAAACACCGGAGATGTTTTCTCTGACCTTTGACTTGCAATATTCCAATCTAAGATATTCCACCGCTTGATTCTTGACGTGAAAAGCTCGGCATTAGAACTTTGTGAGACCAAGATCTCTGATCAGGTCGTTGCTGTGAACTCAATAAGTCGAAATGGTTCATTGACGTAGAAAGAAAACGTAAATAAAACCTCCCATTCCTGAATGTTCTAATTTCGAACAGGTTGGGAAAGTATGGATTTCTCTCTACCGCTTCGCCTCTGTAATCTGAATCAATGATTCCATCCCCTCCTTATTTGCCGTTTTCATATGAATAATGGTAGTCTCTCTTTGAAGGATTCCGTATTTTATCGCTCTTGCCAGTGATCCAGAGTCCATAACATTTATGATACTGCAGACAAAGATGCCCGATTGTTGAACTATATTTAATTTTTCGATAATACTGGTTTAAAAAGATAAAAGTAAAAAAAATATAGTTCAATTAAAAAAAATCCTAAATTGATTTACACTTAAAAATTCCTCTGTCCAAACAAACAAATCTCTCTATCTTACCTTCTAGAGATCTTTTACGGAGTTCGAAAGTGAATTTTAGGTACCCACTGTTTCTTTTGACCATTGATAGGCATGGTGAAATATATCTTGTCCGAAACTACACCCACTCCGTGGAAATAATCAAAGATGTTCCCATCCTATCCAAGGAAATAGTGAGCAAGCGGTGAGTGGTGAGTTTGTTCACCAAGGTACCAACGGATGAAGCACTCTCAGTAGTCAGAGACAAATTGACCTCTGACTCTTCCCTAGAAGAACGGACCAGTATTCCAATAGATAATCTGATGGAGATGTTGACTTTCTTTACACAAACACAATTTGGAATGGGATCACACATATATCGACAGGATGAGGGCTAAGCAATGGGATCGCCATTATCACCAGCAAAGGCGCATATATACATGGAATACTTTGATGAAGAATTGGACACCCTTAAGAATCCCAGATATCTATAAAAAACAAAGCAAGAAATCTATAGTTAAGGCACGTAGATGACAAAACCTTCATGGACTCTGGCCACACCAGGAAGATGTTCAGGTTCTACTGGATCCATGGTGAACTCAATAAGAGCTTCCAAGATACAGTTCACGATGTAGAAAGAGGAGTAACAACACACTCCCATTCCTGGATGTTCTAATATCTCGAACAGAGCATGGGTTCAATACTTCCGCATATTGTAAACGGACATTCACCGGACAGTACCTCAATTTCAACTCCCTCCATCCATACAGCTTAAAGAAAGTGATCGTCCGCTGCTTATAAGTGGTGACCCAGAGGTCGGTCAGTGAGAACTATTAGATAAAGAATTGGGTCACCTTTTTTTTATCAGTATAAATAGTACCCTACAACGTAACAACTACCCCAGGTGGGAAGAAGAGTCAGGACATGGCAGCAGACCCCCAAAACTGGGATAAGCAAAGGATCCGACACTGGGTAAAAGAGGAGGACAACAACACCGTGGTGACAGAAAACAGTCTGCCTTGTCTTATGTAGTTTATTTCCTACCTCGGGGTTATCGGAGAAAATACAAAGGATCTGCGGTCCATTTGGTGACATCAGGACAACCTTCAAAAACCCTGACGATACTTTCGCAGATATCTCTCCTGGGAAGAAGTGACCAAAGAGAGTAAGAACCCCATGAGGGACCCCAAAACTAACACAGCTTCAGGAGGAGACCCAGGAGCCCCATAGAGGAGAACATGACTAACGGCTATTTCTACGCCATCCAGTGCAGCTGCGGAAAGAAATATAAAAGGGAGACAGGCCGCCCCCTTATGGTAAGGATTCAAGAACACCAGAAAGCTGTAACACGAGGGTAAGTGGAAAAAATCAAGCGTGGCTGACCACATATGAAGAGAAAAGGGATATCACCATCCTCTGTGGGATCAGGTTGAAATAATAGACAAAGAACACCATTGGAAAATTCGTAAACTTAAGTAATCAACACATATGCTAGGCAACAAAAATTTCCTCAGCCGAGCACGCATAGAAATGAATACAATATGAGACCCAGTAATGAGGATAAAGCGATAATAACAACAAAAAATGCAATATAATCCTCACTGGGTAAAAAGATTTGCTTTTACCCCTAGGAGCTCATATTGTCATTTTTGGTCCCTGAGGACGCATTTTTCTATGAAAATTCCTCGACATTCAGGCCGGTAAATAGTAAAGGAAAAGAGTTAATACTGTTTATTATAAACAGAGTATTTACTTAAATATTTGTACCTATAAAAAGAACGTATAAACATAAAAAAATGTCTTAAAATAATTGTCGGAATTTGTCCATTTCATAATAAGAATTTTAATTAGAAGTTGCGGTGGTATCGAATATTACAGATGATAAAATTACAGGTAATGCTTTTCAGGTATCGAAATTTGTTGGTGTGAGTAGGATTTTAATGTTGTCATTTGTTGTTGGGACATAAATTGTCGTGACATTTTTTCTTGTTTCAACGTTTCAATATTTATCGACTGCAATCACTTCTTAATATGAGTTTTTAAATCTTACATAGCCTTTTAACTGTTGTTTAATTTTCGAATTGTATTGCCTGAAATGGCCTTTATTGACGCAAAGAAAACGCAAATAAAAGCTTCTTGTTGAAGTGTCGAAGCCATGTCGACATCTTTTGTGATTTGTTTCGATAACAGGAATATTCGTTAAACACGATGATAATCGTTGCAGAATCTAGTTATAGTGTCAAATAAATCTGAGAGATGCTCACATCGAGAAATAACACGCTTAATGATGAAAAAAGAAAAAAATTTGAGATGGAAGATGAGAAAGAGAGGAAGAGAGGGGGAGATAGAGAGACAACAAAAATTATAGGAAAGGAATGAATAGAAGGAAACAAATTAAAAGTGGGAGGAAGATGAAGAATTGAACGAAAAGAAAGAAAGAAAAAAGAAGAGACTGGAAAAGAAAGTGGAAAGTGAAAAAATAAGACGAAAGAAACATAGAATGAAGGAAAGAAACAAATAATCAAAATAACTAAGAAAACAAAAGAAAAAAAAGAAATAATGAGGGAAAAATGAAAGAACATTACGAGAAAGTAGAAAGAATTGCAAACGAATGGGAGAAAAATTAGATGAAGAAATGAAAAGAAAGATAGGAAAGAAAATGAGTTAATTTTTCTTAAGGACATAAAAAATAATTCACTAAGTAAAACGAGGGAAAAAAAGAATAACATGAGGGGAAGGAAAGAAAAGAAATATCAAAACAGAAAACCTTAATTTTGAAAGAAAGAATTGAAAGAAAGAAACCACGAAGAAAAGAAAGAAAAATTAAAGATAAACAAACAAACAAATTTTACTTTGGAAAAAAATAAAAAATAATGAAGAAAAGGGAAAACAAAGAGGTTGGGAGGGCGCCAGAGGCGGGAAAGATCCTTTCTAAAGAAATTAATTGGGGGAAATAATGAAAACGAAAGAAAAAAGAAAGAAAACAATTGAAAGAAAGAAAAGAAAGAAAAACCGAAAGAAAAGAAAAAGAAAAAAAAAGGTTCGAAAATTAAGTCACCTGACATGAGGGATAAGAAAATAGAAAAAACTGTGAGAAAAAAAACAATAACGAAATGGAAAGAAAATTAATACGGCTTTTTGAAATTATCGAAGAAAGAAAGAAAGTCGGCAGAAATCAGAAAGAAAGAAAGAACGACAGAAAATTAACTGGAGAAAGAAATCTTCCACCAGAAAGAAAGAAAGAAAAAAGAAAAAATCGAAAAGAAAATTAACTTTGGGAAAGAAAGAAACAAAGAAAAGAAAGAAAGAAAACTGAAGGGAGGGAGGAAAAAAGAAAAAGATGGAAAATTAACTGGGGATAGAATGAAAGAAAGAAAGAAACAAACAAACAAACGAAAAGAAAGAAAGGAAAAAGGAACTGTGAATAGAAAGAAATTTGGAAGAGAAAGTAAAATGTAGAAAACAGTGAAAAAGGATTGTAATGAAAAAGGAAAGAATATGGACTGTTGAAAGAAAATCTCTTTCTCACCCTCTCTCTATCTTGGTGTTTTCAAATATATCTATCTGTCTATGATAACCATGCTCTTATAGAGAGGGATTAACTTTTCTGGTACCTTCCCATCGGAGAATTTTTTAGAAACAGAAAAAAAAGATGTCATCTAAGAAAATTAAGAAATTGTAATATCCTCTTTTCCGATGAAAGAAGATTCGAGATCGTGTCAACAATAAAAGTTAGAGAGTTAATCGACAATCTTAAAGGCAAATTGGAAATACCTAACAAAACATACATTGAGCAAAGAAAATTCATGATGCAGATCTGTGGTTTATACAGCATCTATGCTGAGAGGTCGACTTGTCGTATAGGTTGGAATTACTTATTAAAAAAAAAAATGCCTAACGCGTGGAGGATTCTCTCCAGGCCGATATCATCAAACAATGTATCACAGCTAGAATGCGTAGGTCCTAAACAATCGACCACGACACCCCACCTAAAAAAAAATGTTTCTTCATCTACCATCACTTTTAATGCTATGCCACATCATTACATATCCACCACCACAGTTCACTAAGTTAGGAAACTTTCCTTATTTCATTATCCTGCCGGTCGACTTACATCAGAACCTATCTCTAGCTTGCATTCCTCACCAATAAATAACTCTTCTACAATTCCAGCCCGTCCTGGATAAGACGATCAATTACATCCGCATCCTGGGTAAGACGAT